ATTACTGCAAGTTTAAATCTCACCAGGCTCAAGGTTGACACAGCCTTCCATCCTTCCGAGGTAGGTAAAATGAGGACCCGGATTGTGGGGGCAATAAGCTGACTTTGTATAAAAAAGAACACCGCTTAGGGGGGCCCAAAAGCCCTACTAAGCAGGTATATGAAAAAAGTATGAAGGCTATTGCTTAACGCATTGTAAGCCGTCCTGAGTCTCCGGAGAAGGGCGGCATATAAATTGAACCAATAAATAAATAAATAAATAAATAAATAAATAAATAAATAAATAAATAAACAAACAAAGGACCCACAAATTCCCTGTTGTCTTTTGTGTGTGTGAATCCCAGCTGATGGCTACAATGGACAAAAACCGAAAATTGATTAGGAACTCCTTACACATTTTCATGTTTGAAAACCCGTGTCACACTCTATGAACTAAAACTCAGGAAGACAGAGCATTCTTATAATCTGTATTCATTTTACAGGTAGAATTTAAAACCACGGAAAAGTCAACACCATCTAAAATATATTGAATGGATGCTTCATTCCCATCATGATCTGCACTTGGGAGGTGATATTTTTCCCCATTTGTTTTCTACCGGGGGAATTGCCCTGAAAGCCATTCCTTCCCGTCAAAGAAAGGCAAACAACCATATTCCGTCAGTTTTGCTTTTCTGCTATATCAAGTAACTGCAGGCTACTGGGCAGTAGAAGCAATGGGGGTGGGTGGGAAGGGGCACCTGCTGACTGATATTCTTAATAGCAGTTTTCTGGATGAAGGACATACTTGGCTTTGGATTTGACAGCATTTGCAGAAGCCAGTTTGTATTCACAGTGGCAGGTAGAAGGAATGTGAGCCCTGGCATAGCCAAGGTGCCTATAAATACTTTGGCTTTCTAACCACTCAAATCCAGTGGACGGTGATTGCTTCTTCCTAAATATAAATGTAAGCTGGCATTTCTTTTTTAAAAAGTGCAACTTGCTGAGGAATTGGGTTTCTAAACAGTTTTTTTTTAAACACATCCAGTTTTCATTTCACTGATATTTCTATAAAACAGAACAGTGATAAAACATTCCATCTGACTGGTATATATTTTAGGTGAGAAAATTGATTGTAATTTTCTTTGATCCATGATCGTGAATTACCCAACTCTACAGAGCCTGAATAATTAGCAAATAGGAATAACTTGCATTCCTAAGAGCCTTTTTAGTACAATCCTGCCTGCCCCCCTCACCAACTCAGGCATGCTGGAAAAAATAGGAGCACTTAGGGAAAAACCCATCAGCATTGGAAGATGTACTCAACACTCATTTATAATACTAATGATAATTTTGGTAATAATTGTGTAGAATTGTGTCAGTGAAGCAAAGAAGATGGGCAATGATAGAAGCTAAGTCAACAAAATATCAGTCTTCCTTATAAATCAATTGGCAAAAGCCATGTTTTATTTTTTAAAAACTTTTGTGTTATTTAGTTGCTTGTAGAAACTGGCAATAAAGAGAGTTACATAAACTAGAAGGTATAATCACGAAGTACTCAAAATATCGATCTGATTCTAAATACAGGATTGCATTTCACAATGAAAGTTTCAGATACTCATAAAATAGAATAACCTAAATAACAAGAGTCTAGGAAATTTCTCAATTCTCCCATTTACCATAGCCAATACAATAATTATAACTGAAATGAGAGAGAGGCAGAAATTACAAATTAGAGTGTATGATAAGTAATAATAGAACAGCATTTAATAGACCTAAGATACTTGCTTATTCCTTAAATTTTGCATATTTAATCTAAAATCTGAATCAATTTTTCCATTACTAATGCATGGTATCTTTTAAGTGTTCTCAGTGAACTGTTTTATTTTTCACAACTAAATCTTATATTTTTAATGACAGAATGGTCAGATATACTTCTAGCAAATCTCAGAGGAATTATCTTGTATTAAATCAGTTTGGCAGCAGTTCTTCAAGGTTTCAGACAGAGGTCATTGCTCTTTGAGATCCTTACAAGGACTGATCTTAGGATCTTTGCCTATAAATACAAAGCATGTCAGTTAGCTATGAGCTTTCTTTAGAATTGGGCTTTCAATAGAATGCAGAAGCTTTTCTGAAATTACCGTTGGCGATGTAGGAATAATTTGGGGTGTGTCTTCAGGCCTTTGATATTAGCCAATCACACTTCTCATTCAACTAAAGGTCATCTTGAAAGGATGTTCTGCCTTCAAAAGGGATTTTGTGTTAAACCACTTCTAGTTCCATTTTCTTTCTCTGAAGAAAGAACAGGGATATGAATTGGGAAGAGTGATGTCAGACCCAGAATGTAGAAGACCCTTTCAGATGAAATGAGCTGTTTTATGCTAAATCCATTATAGATATAATCAACTATTTTTATTTTGAATCTTATAAACAGCCTTAAGGTTTAGATGGAATCTTAGGTGGAACATGAATCCAATCAGTCAGTTTGATGTCTCGGCCAAAAACTAGAACTATTTTGTCTTGCAATTTCCTTGAAATTTTTCCCTCCAGCTATTAACATCTGTAAAGTGATGGGGAAATATTGTTCAAACATGGCGGTCATAGAGTAGTGTTGGTTACATTTTTAAATTACAGTTTGGGTATTCTTGAATTCTAACCAGTTTGGTCATTTATTTTGAGAAACAACTCTCAGAGGCTTCGGACCACAATTGTTAAGGAGGGAAGCAATTTAAAAATGGTCAACTGCCACTTAGGTTTACTAGGGTGCAGCTAATGTAGAGATTATCCAGATACCATGTTACTTACATTGAAATTACTCTGGACTAATTCTTGAAAAGAATTTGCTATCTTAAATTTAAATATTAATACAGAAATGAGGAACAGAACAAGCAATTTTTTCTTACCCAGAAATATGTGTTTGTAGTATAAGTGTGAAAGTACACCTAGACCAACACACAGTTTTGGGAGGAAAGCTATTCAACTTTTAATGGGCAAAATGTTGATTGTAAAGACATTACTACATACATAACATGAACTCTGCAAAAATTATGTTTATCCATGTGAGAATAAAAATAACAATTTTATCAGCCTTTAGAACAACCTTTTCCATGTTTCTTGGGATGAAAGATTTCACTCATCTAGATTAGAAACTAAAGTGGTAACATGCATTAGATTGGTATTCACAACTCAAAAATATTAATTAGCAAGCAGGAGCAGTTAATGGTTGGTGAAATAATTTAATACTCAGAGATGTGTCTCCAAAGCTCATCAGCAAATTACTAATAAACCTACTGCTGAATTCTGAATTAATTTAATAATAAATGAAGCAGAAATACAGTTGAATTCAAAAATATGTCATTAGCATAAAAGCGATATTGTATATTGGGAATTAAAAAAATCTTTCTCTTGTAAAGAATTTTATGAACTCATGTTGATATTTAAGAAGATCAAAAGCGGGACTATACAAATCAGTTTAAAAAACTGAAACTCAGTTCAGATTTTGAATATCCCCCGATGTACATAGTAGACAAATGAATAAATAATCATATATGGCTATTATGATCATGTTGACAGCTGCAGTTCATAGGAGTTCAGGACCAGCGTTCTACCATTCACCATCAACCAAGCAATGCTAGTCAGTACATTGTACTTTATAAGACATGACAAGTAATCTTTTTGCCGGTATACTCATTTTAATTTTTAAGAATATGTCACTGGTGCTCTTACAAAATGACTACTATGATAGTTGTGGCCAGTTTGTGTAATGGAGTGTGAGGATGACCTTGTGGAACAAGGGGAAGAGATGCTGCCTAGGAAACAATCAGACAAGAGAGGCCAGAGCCCCAGTTGACTTAACAGTTGGAACAAGAAACTTAGGAAGAACCCACTCTAATGGACCAAGCAGTAAAAAATGGTGGTGGAAAGTTTATACTTTCAGACTTGTAAGATTGATGTCAATCCTCCCAGGTAAATCAGATATGAGACACGACTAGATGAATTAATTGTCCTTTATTGTAAGGATACATTGACAGAATCTTGCAAGCCACTGGAAGCTCTTCCTCTCTTGTCTGATTGTTTCCTAAACAGTTATCTCTTTCTCTCATTGCCCAAGGTCATCCACACATCTAACCAGCTCTCCTAACTGTCAAGATATTTCTAAGAACTCAGGTTACCACCCTTTCTTCATTTCTTTTTAGGGCAGTGGGCACAATTGCAAACAAAGTAGTGGGCCCACTCATCTTTTTTTAATTTATTTTCTGTGAATATGCATTGTATTTCCATAGAGCCAGCAGCTCAACATTTTTCATTGAAGTATATCAATTTCCCATGTAGAGTTTTTGAACATTCAAACCTAGGTTGGAAGTGTTGCTGTAAGCTGTCTCATAAGAGTACAAATTTCAGAAACAGTAACATTTTTTTCAGTCGTCTTCAGGCTTGTAGCATATATAAATGCTGGCCATAAAATTCTCCAATCACAGCATGGATAAGTATGTGTGCTTGTCATTTTTCTTAATAAAAAACAGATCTTTGAAGCTCGGGAGGATATTTTACATGTGACTTGAGAGATTAGGGAGACTCTAAAAAGCAAAATGTGGAGTCTTATTGCAAGAGAAAGTGAGAAAAGCCCTCATGCAATGAAATGCAAAGCATTTCACACAACTGCAGTGTTAAATCCTTATGAGAAGTTAGTCCCTTTTTCATTTTTCGTTTAGTTCATTTCTTCAAATTGGAAGCAGGCTAACTTCTTCTTTAAAAGATACTTTATAAGATCCCTTCACTTCTAGGGCTTTACTCTCCAACTGAGCAGTCCCTGGATTGAACATTATATAGAAGCAGGAGCAGCTAAATTTCTCTCTACCCTTGCTATAAAACCATGAATGCAATACCTATGTTTGCAAAGCTTTGGTTTCATCCTGCATGAAAAGTTTAAATATACTTGGAAAACGTAATGTGTGAAGAGGTGTGTATGATCCAAGGCAATTTCTGAATTGCAGAGGAGGAACAAAGGGAAGTCTAGACTACAAATCCATTTGGTCTAGCATTTTAATTTATGCTTGTTTCAGCTAACTCACATGTGTTATGATGTTTTATTGATTATTTTCAAGGAGATGAAAGTTCTGTCTAAGATAGTTTCGAAAGCAAGCCTTTTTAGAGGAGAAAATAAGCTTGAGGTAAGGTATTATCCTCACAGCTTTGATTTTGTGGCATTACCCCATGGCAGTTTTATAGTGTCACAACAATTGATCATAGTTCAGAGAGGAAGGCTGCCTCAACTTGACTTGTCAGGGTGTTTTGGTGGCTTTATTTTTCAGACAGCCTGCTGGACAAGACAACAGCTATTGTACAACAGAATCTTCTTCTCCACACCTTTCTGTTCTGCTTTCAACATCCTAGAACAGACATTAGAAACAAAGTATTTAAAAATAGGACTTGAGCAACATCAATTTTTCATAAACCATATATAAAAGGAAAAAAACATAAATTGGAAAAAACACATTATAGTTAAAAATATCCACTTACATAGCAACCCAGTAACCCGTATTATTTTTTAAAAAAGTCATTGACTTACAATTCCCATTAACACCAGTAAGTGAAATCAATTATAAAGGATGCTAGGAGCTACAGTTCAGCAATATAGGATAGCTGAACTATCCTATATTGATAGGTTCATATCCTATAATATGAGCCACGGTGGCACAGTGGTTAGAGTGCAGTACTGCTACTTCTGCTGATCACCGGCTGCCAGCAGTTTGGCGGATCGAATCTCACCAGGCTCAAGATTAACTCACCTTCCATCCTTCCGAGATTGGTAAAATGAGGACCCAGATTGTTGGGAAAAATATGCTGACTCTGTAAACTGCTTAGAGAGGGCTGTAAAGCACTATGAAGCGGTATATAAGTCTAAGTGCTATTGCTATAGCTGCCATTTTCATAATCCTGTCCTAAACAATTTGGCTATGCATTATTTATATTACAATTCCAACATACCTGGAAAATTTTTCATAAATATAGAGACCCTACATGTGGTAATTCTTCAGGAGAAGGGGTGGCAGAATCTGGTAGTGGAGTCAAAAGAGTTATCAGCCTGGAGTTGCTACATAGCCACAAATGAACCAAGTCCAACCCCTTGTGAATTCTGTTGACTCGTATCCAGTGCCATTAGTTGAATAGATTCTGTGCATATAATGGTATGTGTAATAATAAACAAGTGGGATGCAGTGGCTCAGTGGCTAAGACGCTGAGCTTGTCGATCAAAAGGTCAGCAGTTCAGGGGTTCGAATCCCTAGTGCTGCATAATGGGGTGATGTCCTGTTACTTGTCCCAGCTTCTGCCAACCTAGCAGTTCAAAAGCATGTAAAAAATGCAAGTAGAAAAATAGGGACCACCTTTGGTGGGAAGGTAATAGGGTTCCATGCACCTTTGGCATTTAGTCATGCTGGCCACATGACCGTGGAGACGTCTTTGGACAGTGCTGGCTCTTTGGCTTTGAAATGGAGATGAGCAGAGTTATCTAGAGTTGGGAACGACTAGCACATATGTGCGAGGGGAACCTTTACCTTTACCTTAATAATAAACAAGTTTAATTGGGAATTTCACATGTGGTCCTGGTCTTTCACACTTGACAAATTCCATACTAAGGCTGCCCTCTTCGTTCATATGAATATAGAGGTATTAACCAGGGAGGGAATTTGTAGAGCTTTCAGGCCAAACACATGACAGCACCAAGGAAACTGAGAAACATAATATTATGTCCAGAGTATACTTCTTCATGGTCCTATGTTACCATCATCTTCAGTGTACCATGGATTAGGTAATTAGATAGAGAACCCAGGATATTATGTTTGATTCCACTAAAAATCATAACTAGAGCAAAAAATATGACTATACTTTATTATCACAATTTATGCATATACCCTGACGTACCAAGGTATCACTCACCTATAACAGCTAGCTGGATACTTGGGTGGTTTTATTTTACTTATTTTGAAACTATTTTAACAGAATGGTGTAAAATAGCTTCATTGATAATGGTTGCTACAGATAACTGATTTCCTATGTTATTACAACATACACTAAACAAATAATTTCAAATAATTGTTTCATTTGCTTCCATAGCATCTCATTCATTTAGAATGAAATGCGAACTGTCCAGATGTTTCTCTAGTCAAGTGGTGCTTTTGAAAAGCAACCGTTTAAAAGGCAATCAGAATAATAAGAAAATAGGGGGAACCCAGAAGGAAGTGCTTCAGAACATGTGGGAATGGAAACTCAGTATTACTGTAGTCTGCAACTCATAAAAAAAAAAAAATCACAATTTTTTTAGAACTGTGCTGCAACTTAGAAATAGTTATTTGTGTTTTAATAAGTTTCATACAGGTGGTGCATTCAATCTCTCATTGTTCTGAATTGAATCCAAAGTATTGTGCCATTCTATTAAAAACCTGATACCACATAAATCCCGTAATTCCTTTTTCATAAAATTATCCAATAAATTACCATAGGATAGGTACCAGAATTAATTTAACAGAGGCACCTGTTTTTTTCTGTAAACTCAACACATATGTTCACATTTTTAATGAATACTTAGTAAATACATGGTATTTTTTAATATACAGGGTATAGCTCTGAATATATTATGGCTAGCCACATACTCAGCCATATGTATAGAATGGACCTGGCATTTTTATCCAGCTATTGAGTCCTTCCCAAGGATCTAGGTTGGGCAAAGGTTGCTGTTTGATGGTTAAAGGTATTGTTGCAGGATGTAAGCTGTCCCAAAGGAAGTTGCCTTTTGCATTTGATTGATGGTGTAAATGCCAGTGGTATTCAAGTGGTGCTCCAGATGTTTTGAGACTGCACCCAAGGCATCTATTACTGTTTGTATTCTTTGCTTTCTTTTGCTACAGTCATTCTACTTCCATTTACATTATTTGTGTCTTTTTATTATTAATTTTATTATTTATTTCATAACATGAAATCACAGCTGCCAGTTCTTTCTTTTATTATTTTTTTATTTAATTTCTATCCTGCCTTTATTATTTTTATAAATAAGGCAGCACAGATATCTAATACTCCTCCCTCCTCTTATTTTTTCCATAACAACAACTCTGTGACGGGTTGGGATGAGAGAGAGAATGACTGGTCCAAAGTCATCCAATTGGCTTTCATGCCTAAGGCGGGAATAGAACTCACTGTTTCACATTTTCTAGCTTGGTGCCTTAAACACTAGATCAAACTGGCTTGTGTTGGCTTTCATAAGAACCTAGGGTGTTGTAATGTTTCAGCATTGTATATGTGCGAATCCAAGCAGTATGACCTTTTGTAATTGATAAAAATTTTGTCAATACACAGATTTTCTAAGTACCATCCAAGATTTTTTGGTATGACCAATAACCTGACACTACCACAGCCAGTTTATGCCGTATAATTTCCATTTGGTCTCGTGGTGTGACCAGAACAATCTGGAATTGAATACACTCAAAACTGTAGAAATGGTGGTGAACTTTAGGAGAAACCCTCTCATACTACCACCTCTTACAATACTAGACAACATAACACAGTATCAACAGTAAAGACCTTCAAATTTCTAGGTTCTACCATATGTCAAGACCTAAAATGGACACCTAACATCAAAAACGTCAACAAAAAAGCACAACAAAGAACTCAGAAAGCTCAAACTGCCCAAGGAGCTGATGATATAGTTCTACAGAGGAATTATTGAGTCTGTCATCTGCACCTCCATAACTGTCTGGTTTGGTTCTGCAACCCAATAAGACAGACACAGACTTCAGAGGATAATTAGAACTGCAGAAAAAACAATTGTAACTAATCTGCCTTCAAAAAGAGGGTTGTGAAAATATTTACAGACCCCTTGTATCCTGGACATAAACTGTTTCCATTCCTACACTCAAAACAACGCTATAGAGCACTGCACACCAGAACAACTAGACATAAGAACAGCTTTTTCCCGAACGTGATCACTCTGCTAAAGACATAATTCCCTCAACACTGTCAAACTAGTTACTAAGTCTGCATTACTATTAATCTTCTCATCGTTCCTATCACCCATCTCTTCCCACTTATGACTGTATGACTGTAACCTTGTTGCTGGTATTCTTACGATTTATATTGACTGTTTCCTAATATGATTTGATTGCTTATTTGTTCCCTATGACTATCATTAAGTGTTGTACCTTATGAGTCTTGATGAATGTATCTTTTCTTTTATGTACACTGAGAGCGTATGCACCAAGAAAAATTCCTTGTGTGTCCAATCACACTTGGCCAATAAAGAATTCAATTCAATTCAATTCAGTTCTATTCTATTCTAATTTTGATTTTCAGATCTTTATATTTTGTGATCTTCTCCAATTCTTTGTCTTCTACTCTACAATCACCTCATATTGGTTATCCGCTCTTTCTTCTTTTCAATCACAATTAAACCTGGTGTATTATAAAGTACACAACATGTACCTAACTTCTCTTCAATTCCTTAAAAACAATCAGCACCATTGAAGGTTCAAATACTGTATAACAATTTCAGAAATTAATAACTTGACAGTTGATATTTCTTGATTGCTTTCACTTGGACAGAAAGGCTAAATGAACCATGAACCATGAGACTTACATCTGTGGTTAATTATGATCCTGGCTTGGTCCAAAAAAACCTGGCTCTGTTCTTTATGATTTCATTCTTGTTAATGGAGGAATTAGAAAATTCTGTTTCATTACAAAGGCACTACTTCTGAGGTAGCAGAATGATTTTTTGAAATAACTGCTGGAGCTAAAGTACACATTATGTGTGGGTTTTTGTTTGTTTGTTTGTTTCCTTGAATCCTTTTACTGTATTAAAACCAATAAACCTGATATAAATGCTAGAAATCAGATTTATATATTGAGTGGCAAGTGGAAGTGTTTTATCTCTGTACCTTTCAAGCCAGTTGGAATTTGTCAGAATTTGCCATGTGGTTATCAAGTTTTAAAATCATTAGTTGGTGGTTGCAGATATCAAAAATCATCTTCCTACAATTCAAGGCAGGGGCATAGTGTGTAATTCTTCTGATAGACATTTCCACCCCCCTCTTCTTTGTGATTCCATTAGCAGTAAATATAACTCTGGTCAGTACACACATTTTGTATTCAAGCACAGCTCTTTGGGATTAAACATTCAGTTTCTATGAGAGACCATCAGCTTCAGGTCAAAAGTGCTGTTCTTAAATGATCAGCAGAAAGCAGGCTGGTGGGGGTGAGGAAAGAAGTGACCTTGCTGTGGGTCTGAAACTACACTGAAGCCTTTTCTGCATGATTAAGTGAGGAGAATCTTAGATTAGCTAAAAGCAGCACTGAAACATAATGAGTTCACTTATTTTCGAGCATTTAATAACAGTTA